CTTCCATTTTAAGTTTAGCATTCTTTTCTGAAAGTTCTTGTTGTTCTTTTTCCTTGTTCTTCACTGCACTTCTAAGACTTCTTATCTCCTTGTTATTTTCATCATACTTTTGCTGATTTTCATAAATTTCGGTTTCTTTTTGAGACAACTTATTTGATACGTCTTTAAATTGAATTTTTATTTGTTTTATTTCTTGATTTTTAGAATTCAAATCTTGATTATATCTTTCGGAAGTTTCTCTGAGTTTTGTTTCGAAATTTGTTTTACTTTCATGCGTCTCGTTAAGTTCTTTACGAAGCCTTGCAAATTCTTCTTCGAATTGTTTATTTCTTTCGATAATTGCTGTGAGCTTTCTTTCGAAAGATGTTTTTTTTTTACGCGTCTCTTCAAGCTCGTTACGAAGTCTCGCAAGATCCTCTTCGTATTGTTTATAATTTTCGGCGAACTTTTGTCTAAGTTCAGAATTAGCATTGGAATATTCGTTAAGTTCTTTATGAAGCCTTGCAACCTCTTCTTCGGATCGTTTAAGTTTAGAATTTGCAAAGGAATATTCGTCAAGTTGGCCACGGAGTTTTGCAAATTCTTCTACGGATTGTTTATTTTTTTCGGAAATTAATTCGAAATTTTCTTTAAGTTTAGAATTTTCTAAATTCTTATTGGAACATTCTTTTTCATATTCTTCACGAAGTCTTGTCAAATTATCTTCGGATTGTTGAAATTTTTCGGAAATTTCTTTGAACTTTTCTTGAAGTTTTGAATTTTCTAAATTCTTATTGGAACATTCTTTTTCATATTCTTCACGAAGTCTTGTCAAATTATCTTCGGATTGTTGAAATTTTTCGGAAATTTCTTTGAACTTTTCTTGAAGTTTTGAATTTTCTAAATTCTTATTGAAACATTCTTTTTCATACTCTTTACGAAGTCTTGTCAAATTATCTTCGGATTGTTTATATTTTTCGTTAATGTCTTTGAGATTGTCTTCGAGTTTAAATTTTTCTTTAAGCAGCATTGAATACGTTTTGGAACATGCTCTGTCATGTTCATCACGAAGTTT